CCTTGGGAGAGCTTGGGATAAATTTACAGCTGTGCAGATCAGAGTCACACATCAAGAAAGCTGTTGAAAGGCAGCTCTAATTTTTAAACATATAATAAAATAAATAGAAATCCCTGGTGTGCAGAAGGGAGAAACTCGGGGATTCCCTGAAGGGCTTACACCCTGCTCTACACCCATGGAAGTGGTCAGTGTGCGGGGTGCTCTGTGTGCCCTTGGCCAGGGCCCTGCCTGCCTGGTGGCCCTGCAGGGTGAGGTCCAATGGGTGGACAGGCTGGAGGAGATCAGGAGCTCCGAGCCACGCTCAAACCCCGTCTCAGGTCACCCCCTTTGCTTTACACCCCTGTGCTGGTGCTGATGTTCAGACCCCACGAGCAGTACCGGCGACCTCCCGAGTGCTGCCCAGAGTGATGGATTATTTATTTAGGCTTATAACAAACACAGAGAAAAAGGAGTAAATGAATAATGCATGGCTGATTAGCTTATACATTCCAGCTGGCAGCTGCGAGAGATGGCAGAGAGCAAGCCTCACTTTAAGTTCCTTGAGAGAACAGCTTTTCTTCCCTCCTTCCCTCCAAACCCCAAGCTGCAAGGAAGGTTCTGCTGTTTATCCCTCAGCATTACACTAAGGAGCCACCAGGACCTGAAATTCATTTGTTCTGAGGAGCAGAGTGGCAGACGGGCCCCAGAGTCTGTGTTCGTGTAGTGATGGCTCTTCAGGTGCGATGTTTTCCATAGCTGTGGTTTTCAGGTTGCTCTGGCCCCCCTCACAGCTGACCTACACTGCTTGTTTCTCACTTTCTGTAGAGTTTACGTGCCTCCAGTAGCACAGCTCGCGTGCCAGCCTCACCTAGCATGCAGCTATTAGGGGAAATTGGACATGTCAATTATTTAGAAAATATGTTCTCTCTAAGAGATTTTAGCCAGCATCTCATTCTTGAAATGGGGAAGCCTGAGATTCTGGTGAAATAAGTTGGAAAAATGTGTATCTTTGAATATTGAAATACAATGACACCTGGAAGTGCTTGAAGCATTTGAATGCCTTTATGGCAGTTCAACCAACTGTATCCATAAATATTTAAGGTGGCGAATTGTTTCTTGGAATTTACATTTTAATGTACTATTTTGGCTGACGAATTATTGAACAATAAAGATGCTTTCCATAATAATTTCAGCTTTCAAAATACAGCACTTGACTGTGAAAAGATCTGCCTGTGGCTATCATATGATGGAGTGAGCTCCCAGCGTAATGCTGAGCCTCGATATCTCCTAATTCCAAATTAAGATTTATAATAGTAGGAGGTAACTTACATCCCACCTGTGTTTCTGCACTTCTTGAATAAAAAATTACCAAAAAAAAAGCTGTGCAACAGCCACTGTTACCTTTCAGCAGAAGGTGTGTATGGCTGGTTAGCATTCAAGCTTTCAGCATGGAATCAGTGTGGATAAAGTGGCCACTGAAATCCTGCAGTAGCTTTTCTGTAGTGTTGCCCTGTTTAAAATATGCTGGTTTGATTTTCAGTTGGTGACAATGTCACCACCCCACAGGTGAACACAGCCAGCAGCTGCCTGATGGTTCTGCTCTCTGCCTGGCTGCAGCAGCCAAAACGTGGAGCAGTGGACACAGAGCTTTTGGGACACGCAGTAATTTGTGCCATTGCTTGCTCCATGGAGTTGCGTTTGCAGCAGGGAGCAGTTGCCAGGATGGAAACACCCAAGTGACTGGGACCATCACCAGAAGATCCCAGTAATGAGCCATGACCTGCGAGGGGAGAGCTCTTCACTTCTGGAGGTGTCACGGGCATGTTAGAACTGAGGTTCTCGTTCAATCATGTAAAAACTAGCACAGGGATTGATCTTTTATATGAATTTCAGTATGAAAACTTCACATTTATTGAAGAATTTGAAATTATACTAAACTCGTCCTGAAATATTTGAGGAGAACTGAGGCATTACATTTTTTCCTTCTTTTTTTTTTTTTATGTATTTGCAAGTGAGTAGAAAAGTAATATTAGAGACAACTAGCTAAAACACTGACGTGTTGTTTTTCTGACTGTGTATCAATGTTAGTGATAGCGATCACCAAATAATAATGATTCAGGCTCTGTTATGGGCTGCATGACATTATAATCTGATCCAATCTGCTTTTCATTTTTAGGATATATTACTTTTCAGATAAACAGAGAACTTCAAATCCCCAAGAAAGGGTAGTGGAATGTAAATTTGCAAAGTCTAGACAGCCAGCTGAAAACTGATTTTCTCCACCTTATAAAGAAGTAGACTATAAGCCAAATCATTATTTAGTCTGAATATTTCCATAGTTTCCAGCTGGTTGTGGAGAGCTGCTGTGCTTTGATTCAGCTGATAATGAAACTAAGAATGCACAAATCATTTTTATCAGGCAACAAGTACAAACGCTGCTCTGTGAACTGAAGAGAGTAAATCCTCAGCTCCACACTCAGCCAAAGTGTTCCCAGTGCAGCTCCAGGCTGACTGCACAGCTCTGGGATTCCCAGGGCTGCTCTTAGAGGGGTGTCCATGAGGCACAGGCAGAGAAGGTTCTCTCTAAGGTGATCGCAGCATTTCCAGCACCCGCCCAATCACACAGTGAATTAAAGCATTTAGTTGGTGGGGCACTTGCAGGGCCAGATTCTGTCTTTTTTAAAACATATTCTATTCTTTTGGCCTTCCCTTCATTTTGCTGGAAAGGAAGAGCCGCAATCTAGGCAGCATCCTGTCTTGGCAGGAAAGGGGATTGGGTCCATTTCCAAAGAATTTTGAAACTTTGTTCCTATCTTTCCATTTCCCAGATAAGTGGTATTGTGAAGAAGTGAATGTTTCTGCTGTAAAGAAAGATTTCAGACATATTTGCACCTATGTGTTGTATGGAAAAGTACGTCATTATTTTTGATAGATCAGTGCTCAGAAAACTAGAATTTTTGCTGATAGCTGAAGCAGTTCCAGCCTGGTTGCAGCGTGGGCTCTGCACCTCCCTGCTGGGCTCTGTCTCTGCAAGTGTCTCTGTGCAGTCTCAGCCAGGGCGGTGTCACAGCGTCGCGTGGCCAAGGTCCCCGAAGGGCAGCTCTCATGTTAGATGCTGCTCAGCCCTGTAGCCTGGAGGGGTTACCAACCAGGACAGACAGTTTGGGGTTTCATTACAGTGCCTTTTTGCATGTGTTAAAGTAGGTAAGTGACCTAAAAGTTCAAGGAAGAGGTTTGGGTTTTGAAGGTCTTTGTCACATGGAACGTTAGAGTCCTGCTTACACGAGTTGCTAGTCTGAGGTTGTTTTAGCATTTTCTCACAGGGTATTACTACTGTAAGTAATTAAAAAAAGCTCCTGAAGGTTGTGGTGTGATATCCTTAACATTAATTTTTACTCTTAACTGGCAGTAATTCCTCAAGTACACTCATGATTACATATTGCACTGTGTACCCAGTTAGATATTTTTACATATTTCCTATATGACACTTCGTTGAGGAACCTTCAGGCTGACTGTGGTGTTGCTTCTCAGGTTCATCTGCAGGCTGGTATGTCAAAGAACTCAAAACACCACGAGGTTTTGTTGCTGCGGTGCAGAGGTGGGCTCTCCACCATGCCACAGAGATGCCTCATACTACATCCTGCACTGCCTGCTGGAGGAGGGTAAACAGTGCGGGGGGCTTGGAGCCACACACAGGTGGTTTGAATCTGGTTCTTTTTCTGGGACTGTGTCACCTGAGTGGTAATTCCTTTTGGGTAGTCCCAGGTCCTGGCTGTGGGGATAACTGGGAGAGGAAGTGGCTGCTGAGACACGTTTTGCCGTGGCCTCCCTGGGAGTTCCTCACAGGTCCCCTGGGGAGCTGCTGGAATCTCCTACCTATGAACAGCTCTAGGCCTTCTCCTGTGCTTGGCTCTCACAAACCTTGGAATGGTCCTTGTAGCCACAAAAAGATTTTGAGATAGGGCTCAAGGAAAGATTGCCCATCCTTGTCAAATACGAATTCCAAGGCTGTGGATTCACATAGAAATTAAGGTACGTCAGGGGTTTGATTTATCACCCTGGATGACTAGAGGTGAGAATATCACCTAACAATGTCTTTGGGCTTAAATATGAGGTGTAACATTGCAAACTCAGAGGGATTTTTTTTTTTTTTTTGCTAAAAATAGGCAAACAGTTCAACAGTCTTTGAATACTTGACTAACACAGTACTTAGCTGTTACAACTAAAAGCAGTCTAATATTTCTTCTGTATCTAGTTTTTAATGTGAGTTTTGCACAGCTAGAGATGGAAAAGATGGTCAGGAAGGAATTGCTCCTCCATGCATTGCTCAAACCTGCAAGAAAAGAAATGAGGGTCTCAAGAAAAAAACCTGAAAATCACCAGTCGTGAAGAATGCAGGCATCACTGCTGCACTGGAAAAATCATTCACTCGTTCCCTGGATTTCTCCCCCTTGTATTGACTCATGGCATTGCAAGCAGAAAGTCTTTTTCTGACTTCAGGGATTTTCCAACCAAATCAAATTTTATTCCCCGGGCTGTGGTGGTGGCCACATCCAAAATATTAATGCTGAACAGTGTTTTGGATTGTGTGCTTATTATTGGAGCTTATGAGAAGTACAGATATGCTGCTTGCCCAACCCTGCCTTGGGAGAGAGCTTCCTTACAAAGTGCCTGAAAAAGAACTTGTTTCCCATGAAATGAGAGCTGAAAAGAACTCAAGTATTTCCATAAGTTGTTAATAAAAGTGTAATTTTCACAACTATTTTCCTAATGTATAAGTGTTGTAATAGAAAAGTTGCTTTTTATCCATCTGCTGTATTGTGTGTGCTTTTAGTAAGTAAAAAGTGTATCGAAACCGACATAAGCTCTGGGGTTTAGGCATAGGTGGTCAGATCATGATATAAATTATCCTTAAAAGATTTATGGCTGGTATATGTGGAATACTGAGCAAAAGATTGTCACATGATGTGGGGTAATTAGCAGATATTCTATAACGAAATGTGCACTTGTGTGTTTTGTAGAACCACTAGATGAGCTGAAAATCAGAAGTCACAGCACTGAACCACTACCAAAGCTGGAAAACAAAGAGAGGGGAGGCCATCATGGGACAGCTTCCTCCAGGGAGCCAGGGAAAGCTCAGGAATGGGACGGAACGCCAGGCCCGCCGGTGGTGACCAGCAGGCTGGGGAGATCCTCTGTCAGCCCAACCATGTTGGCTGGAAGCAACAGCTCAGGTATGTCAACTAGCAAAGCAGGTAAGATCTCATGAGTTTCCTTGTGAGGTGAAGGATCTCTCAAGATGCACAGATGTGGGTAAACATCCAGACTCTTCAGACTGCCAAATATCTTCTAGAATCTGCCCTGCCTATTGACTGCCATGCTGACAAGCGTTGTGCTGGCCACTTGTGCTCCCTGCTGGAACAGGATGGGGATGGTGGGAAGTAATGCAAGTATGTAAACGTGCCATTCGTCTGTCTAAAAAGAAGTAAGAATTCCACCTGACACTGAGAAGAGACACTATGGCCAAGACCCCCCCAGGATGGCCCCTCAGAGAGGAGTTTTTGCACTCAGCTGTCACACAGAGCAACAAAAGCACACTGTGCAGGAGCAAGGCTGCCTGGTTGATGTGCACCGTGAGTGGACACAGGCAGCCTTTGCTTTATGCTTTGCATAAATTTCTAGAAAAGTGACTATGAATGTTAGAAGTCTCAAATTCATACCTATCCATTTTATTCATCAAATATTATGTCTATAAAATAGCAGATGGCCATAAACCACGAATAGCAATGCAGCCTTGTTTATAAATTGACTAAGAGAGCAATGGAAAGGATGCCTGAAGAGACACCTACAAATAGATGTGTAGAGCTCTGGCAGAACCACTGTGCTGTTACTTTTTGAGGTTTGACAGTTGTTTTAACAGAGTAACTTCATTGCTTAGCAGCTGAATTGTGAAAAATATCTGCTATAAAACCAGTTGGCATATATAGTACTGGAATCTCTTGGTCAACATTCAGAAAGCATAGTACCATGAATAGGCACCTGCTTTCAATGCAGATGGAAGGGTGGGTTTAAGGGTGCCACATCAAAGTATCAGGACATCTGATAACATGACCAAAGCTGTGTACCAACCTTTTCAATTCTGTGACGTGACAATACGCAGCAGAATGGAAGAGAAATTAAAATTAAAGAGTAAGTTCTTAGCAAAACATAGCACTTCTGTCCAACCTTCCTGCATCAGTTTTATTTTAAAGCGTTGGTTGATCTCCAAAAGCAGACAAAACATGTTGGCCTCAGTCTCTGTTTGGCATCAGCAAACTGTAGTAGTTGTTGAATCACGCCTTGATTTAGTTAAGTGTGACTTTGTCTTACATCGCTGAGACTGTCAAAGAAAAATTATGGAAATAGTTTATTGGCTGAATTTTGACTCCATTTTTTATGATTAAAATCTGAGAGCTGATTATGATTTTTCTTTCCCTGCAGTTTTTGTGACATTTCATTTGATGAATATCGCCTCTCATCTGCCATGAATATTTTTTCCCCTGTGTCTCTAGCTGTTGCCTGAGCAACACGTTTTACCTTTAGCTGGTGGGACACTGCGTACAAAACGCTGTGCACAGTTCTCCTCAGTGAACTCACACATAACCACAGCAGTTCATTCTCTGTAATTAAATTAGATCTGTGACGGAATGCAAGAGACATGTAACACATCTGTGTGGATAAAAATGCTTTCTGGAATCAAGGAGATAAAGGAGTTCTGTGCTAGGACTTTCAGAATTTAAATTGACCACAGGACCAACTGAGATCAGGACATTCCCCAGTACAGGTGCTGTTGTTCTCTTTCCCATACCACAGACAGGAGAAGAAAGGTTAGGTTTTTTTGTGTGGACACGTCCTCAAAACCCCACAGTTTGCTGCCTCCCTCGTAGTTCACACTGGCACAGGCATTTACTAGGGCAGAATTGGAATCATTTAAAGAAAATGGTTTTGAATTGCTCTGGTGTAAAACAGAAAGGATGTGGGAGGACTTCTCCTGTGTGCTCAGCAGGCAGCTCTGCTGGGGCACAGATTCCCTGGGAAGTGGGGTGGTCGGAGCGGGAGAGCTCCTTTCCCATGGGTTCTCACCACCTCTGCACCTGCAAGTGAGATTAGGGGGAGATGAGCCATCTCCAGACAGAACCCTGAGCTTTCTGGGTGTTTTGTTCAAATGGGCATGTCTGTCTCTAGCACCTGGTTGTCCCCTGATCTGCCACACAGTTTGGCGAGGCCGCTTTCTGCGTCCTGGCATCCTGCCGTTGCGGACGGGCAGCAGCGTCAGCGCTCCGGAGCTGGGAAACAGAACGCTGCCATAACTTCACTCCAGGAGCTTTGAACGAGTATTTTCTGGAACGTTGCTGCTTTCTTCCTAAGGAAGGATTTTGCATTGCCACCTGCTGCTGGAGACAGGCACTGCGCAGCCTCTTCCAGCTCCGATACTCTGGTGTCCTGGTTTGCAGTCACCGCCAGCTTGTCACTCAGCTAGCCAGTGAATATTCTACCTGAAATCACTGTAGATAATCAGGAAGGCAGTAAATGCCCACCCTTCCCTGGCATTACTGGCTGGCGTTGTGGATTTGAAGGAGTAAGGAATAGCCAAGTTCAAGCTCTTTGGGGATGGAACAGTGCTTGCAAAGCCTGAGGTGCAAGATGCGTGCGCTGGAGTAGCAGCAAAGGACCATTTCCTGCTAGCTGGGGCTGTGTCACCCAGAGACAAGGGAGTGCTCCCACCAACCCTTACCTTTTCTCCCCACAGGCAGTATCGGAGTATCACTGTGCTACTAAATCCTCAGGGATTCCCCGAGTGAAGGCAACATGGTGCTGGAGGTGTATGTTACTGGGCAGCCTGTGCTGGCTGCAGTGCTTCCAGACCTTGCCTAGGCTGGTCCCCAGTGCTCTCCCCACACCATGTTGCCCGTGGCAGGACCTGTCACCTGGAGTGCAGTGAGCCATGCTGGGAGCTGCTCCGTGAGCCGGGCCCACACCTCTGGCCGTGGGGCCGCACGCTCGCCGAGCCTGGCTCTGGAAGCCAAGCTTGGAGCCACGCACATGGCTGCTCTCAGTCCTTTGGATACAGAGCCCCAGGACCAACAGCAGCCCAGGCCAGAAGCTTTGGAGGAACACGGCAAAAAATTGTAAGGAAAAAACACTGCCAGCAGGACATGTCCTTCCCTCGTTGCCTCAGCCTTTGATGTAGAACCCAGAAGTGACAGTTCAGAGCAAATCTTGGTTTAACACACAGTCCACTTAATACAGACATGGTTTTTCTCAGTACCTGGCTTGGTTTTGAGGCCTGCTAAACTTTTGAGCAGCGGATATCTTATAACACCAAGTTCCACATGTTTGGTGCTCCCTTTGTGAGCACAATTCAGTTTGACAGGCTGCTGTGCTACTTCAGCACTAAGTGGCTTCAGCAGGTAAAGTTCTATATTTATTATTTTTTCTTTTTAAGTGACAGACTACTGTATAGTTTATTCCACCTTCAGGTTTCATAATTTTAAGTAATGTTTCAGCTTACTCCTCTCCTTTTAGGAGACCAACATGGCCAGGCCAGTACGATGATAAAAGCTGCGATTCACTTTTCCAGTATGCATGTTTTCTTTTTCTTCTTTTTTTGCATGTGATTACTCTCAGCCTGTCACATCGCCCTGTTTAATTCAAAACGTGCTTCTTGGCAGCTGTAGCAAATAAGCAATATTTCTCTTTTCATGTGCAAAGAAGAGACTGTGACAGGATAAGAAGCTTCTCCAATGTAAGTGACAGCCAGAGTATTTTTTTGAATTAAGATTAGGATAGGCAGAATGAAGCCTTCCTTGGATGAATAAAAGAACTCTTCCCGCTAAGGCCCAAAAATACAAATCACGGAGAGGTGGTGTGTTTCTGGAGGATGTAGAAAACCATAGCTCGTCGGTATAAAACTGATGGAAGATTTTTCCATAAAACCTTGTTGTGTTTCAGCACGCTGCTTTATTGAGGAGATCCCGGTGGCAGTCCCTTGCCCCAGTGCAGCCCACCATGTCCCCACTTCTCCAGCTGTGATGGCAGCACTGGCACTCCTGGGAAACAGGTCCTTTGGGGGGAGGTGCTTGGGCACCTCATTAAGTACCCAGTTTTAAGGCAATCCTCCTAAGGATTGGAAAGCTTTTCTGTGTTGGATGGTCTCTCCTAAAATTCTGGTCCTTAATGCTGACCTCCATCCCCTACTAGCATTCCCTGAGATCCACCCCGGGCTCCTGGAGGTGCTTTGGGCACTGAGGGAGCAGAGCGTTGCTTGTTGGGCATATGGTGCGAGGGAGGCATCGTTGGAAGCTGTGCAAAATCACACCCATGAAGTTTTGTCAGTTAAACGTAGCACCTCACCTTACAGGGGTTGTTGTGCATAACAGGAATATCTTACAGAACTCTCTGGCCACCCGGAACAACCTGCTGAGTTCAAACTGGGGCTGGCCGTGGGTGGCAGCAGGCATCTCTAGCGGCTGCTGCAGTGCCCTGCATCCCATGGCCCCATGCCAGGAAAGACTTGGACCATGCCTGTGAGTTCCCCCACCTGGCACTTGCCAGCGTCTGAGTGGCTTATGGCAGTGTTAGAAGGTCGGGTCGGGTCGGCTGTGGCTGCTGAGAGGGTCGCAGGTTTGGAGCAGAGGCTCTGGAGCCCCCTTTCGGGCAGGTTTGGGTTAGAACCAGAGGATCCAGCTGCACAGCGAAGCAAAGCCCAGTGCAGAGATGGGAAGCCATCCAAACTTCACCTCTTTGAGGTTGGATCTATTTCAGCTTCCATTGTCATGGACAACATTGTCATGGGCCCTTCTCAGAGGACAGGTACCTACAGAGCCTCCCCTCTGTGCTTAGCAGGCTGGCTGATAAAGCTGCTCTGTGCTGTGCATTGCTGTCACAAATGGGACTGCTCATTTCAGGTAGTAATGCTGACCTGTCTCAATATATTGTCCACATGAGATAAACAGGAATTAAATGCTAGAAATCATCCCTGAGACTTGCTGGCAGGATTTGTTCTTCCTTCAAGATTCTCGGCAGTAAACAGGAAAACCTGTTTCCATTCCAGAACCAGAGTATCAATACTGAGGCCTTGCAGACAAGCTGAAATGGCCATTTAAAACAGGAAAACCAAGAGGTAAAGATACTAGAAGTAACTGGACAGTGGACATAATTATGCATGAAGACCTCTTACTTCTTTTTAGGTAGC